CTATGATAATCAAAACAGCATGGTACTAGCATAAAAACAGACACATAAATCAATAGAACTGAATAGAGAGCCCAGAATTCAACCCATACCAACATGGTCATTTACTCTAATGACAAAGGAGGCAAGCCTATACAGTGTGGTAAAGACAGTCTCTTCAATAAATAGTGCTGGTAAAACTGGACAGATACATGCAAAAAATGAAACTGGACCACCTTCTTAGGCCATATACAAGAATAAACTCAAAATAGATTATAGGCTTAAATGGAAGACCCGAAACCATAAAACTCCTAGAAGAAAATATAGGAAGTAAACTCGCAAACATCACCCTTAGTAATATTTTTACTAATAGATCTCCTTGGGCAAGGGAAACAAACAAAAATAAACAAAGGGCCTATATCAAACTAAAAGGTTCTTGCACAGCAAAGGAAACCATCAACAAAATGAAAAGATAGCCTACTGAATGGGAGAAGGTATTTGCCAACGATACATCTGATAAGGGGTTAATAGCTAAAATTCATAAAGAACTCATACAACTCAATACCAAAAAACACAAGGAATCCAATTAAAAAATGGGCTGAGGACATGAATAGACATTTCTCCAGAGGACATACAGATTACCAATAGACATATGAAAACATGCTCAATATCAGTAATCCTCAGAGAAATGCAAATAAAAACCACAATGAGCTATCTCCCCCACCTGTCACAATGGCTATCATCAATAGATCAACAAACAAATGTTGACGAGGAGGCAGAGAAAAGGAAACCCTCCTGCCCTCTTGGTGGGATTGCAAATTGGTGCAGCCAGTAGGGAAAACAGTATGGAGGTTTCTCAAAAAACTAAAAATAGAACTACCTTATTACCTAGCAATTCCACTTCTGAGTATTTATCTGAAGAAATCCAAAACACTAATTTGAGAAGATATATGCACCCCTATGTTCACTGCAGCACTACTCAACAATAGCCAAGATATGGAAGCAACCTAATTGCCCATCAGTAGTTGACTGGATAAAGAGGTGGTACATATATACACTGGAATATTATTCTGCCACAAAAGTGAATGAAATCTTACCATTTGCAGCAACATGGATAGATCTAGAGGGTATTATGCTAAGTAAAATAAGTCAGACAGAGAAAGATAAATACCATGTGATCTCACTTATATGTGGAATCTAAAAAGAACAAAATAGACGAACAAACAAAACAAAAACAGACTCATAGATACAGAGAACAAACTGATGGTTGCCAGAGGGGAAAGGGGATGGGGTGCTGGATGAAAAAGATGAAAACATTAAGAAATACAAATTGAGTTACAAAACAGTCACTGAGTTGTAAATTACAGCATAGAGAATATAGTCAGTAATAGTGCAACAACTATGTATAGTGCCAGGTGGGTTCTATATTAATCAGGGAATCACTGCATAAGTTATATAAATGTCTAACCACTATGCTGTACACCTGAAACTAATATAAAATAATATTGAATGTCAGTCAACTGTAACTGAAATAAAATATTTTTAAAAAAGACATGAAAAGAGGGGCCGTCCGAGTGCACCACTTGGTTAAGAGCTGGCTTGAGACACCAGAGGGCCCCAGTTCGGATCCCACATATGAGGGCCAGTGACACTGCCCTCTACAGCTAAGATGCTGAACAACAGCTCAACCTGGAGCTGGGCTGCCAAGAGTCGGCGACGGTGTAGGCTGCAGCCCCTGCTGCAGTGGGTTGCCATGGGCTACCGTGTGTAGCCAGCAGCCAGCGTGAGCGGCCCTCAAGCCGCCATGAGCGGCCGTCCAGAAGCTGACGACTGATCTGCGTCACCCGGGAAGAGAGCAATGATGGTGCCAACTTGGGCCAGTGAAGCAACGTCCTCCACAACCAGACTGAAGAACAAAAGGACAGCAACTTGTTTACCTGTCTGTTCCCCTTCCCCGATTCCCCAATGCTGTTACCCTCCCCCCAATTCCCCAATAAAATCTTTAAAAAAAAAATTAAAAAAAAAGACATCCACAATATAGGATGATGTAAAAAATGGGTATAAACCCATATGTGTCATATGATTCCATTTCTGTAATTAAACAGCCATAAATAATTACTTAAGAAAAAACGGGTTATTTCTAGGCGGTGAGATTATGGGTGGTTTTTGTATCCTTTTTGCTTACCTGCATCTCGTGCAAAATAATACATATGAGCTCATATTATAGTAAGTAAATAAGAATTTAAAAAAGGAAAAACACTAAGTTGCTATAATGATATTCTATAGATTCAAGGAAAGTCTGCTATTACAGGTAAGAAAACAATTTTTCTCAGTGACCTTCTATAATTTCCATAATATCCCTCTTCTCTTTTGTACTTAAGTACTAAAAATGAAAAGAACTAGCAGTGAATACATTGAATAAAGACTGCAACCACCTGTTATAAACACTAGAAGTATAACAAAGTATGTTCAGTCCCAAGAAACCAGTATCACATAAAGTGTAGCATTTAAGGAGAAATATGCTATATATTTATCATATTGATTACTTTTAAAACTAAAATAAGGATTTAAATATATCTTAAACATTATGAAAAATAATTATATGAAAATAATCTTCATGGACTTAATATTTGCACAAGTATAATGATGTTTCCCCAAATGAATGATTTTGATGCACACAAACTTTTAATTGTTTATTAAATTATTTTGTTTGTGAGATAGTGTTTAAATGGTTTCAGTTATGCCCCATCAACTTAATTTTTTCAGCTATAGTAATACATTAAAACCAAACTTTGTCATACTACACTATTGATTTATTGGGTTCATCTAACTTCACAGTTTCATCTAAGAGTTTAGTGGAATAAATAAAAGCGAAGAATGATTTCTGAAGTATCTTTGGAAGTTTGTGGTTAAGTCTCAAACTGGAAAGTGCATTAGTGGTGTGGCCACTAGTTGTCATGAAATCACATGACAAAAGCTTTGTAAAAAAGCAGTTTATTTATTTTAGGATGACAATAAATTGTTCAGAAGTGGAGGCAATAAAACCACTGATTTTGAAGTCTGTCTGGAAAACGTTCAAGAGTTTGGAAATACTTGGATAAAGCTTAGCTCATTTGTGTTCAATTTGTCTCATCCAATTTTAATGGGAAAATTCTATTTATTCAAAGTAACCATAATTAATATTGGGCATTCGTATGCGTGTGTGTGTCTGACATGTGGTTATTACACAACTTTATGTTTGAGGCTATTTGAAATAATACCTCATGAGAATTAGATCACTAGACTATGTAGAAATATTAAAAGCCTTGGGTGAGGATTTTGGAACTAGTTGGAAATAGTTTATCGATTTATTTTTCTTGAAAAAAAATCAGTATTTTGTCTAATAGATTTATTTTAAGGCCAGATGTTTATGACTTTTATGACAAGGTAACACTTGTTTTTCTCTACTTATTAATTTTTAAAGGGGAATAACAATAAACTAATTTTTTAGAAAGCAAAATGCATTATTTGAAATAAAAGAGCTATCCAAATAAATAGGCCCTGAGAAATACTTTATTTAAAAAACAATAAATGAATGGCCATTTTATTGTGCAAAATGAACATTATTTACTTATTTTTTCTCAATAATACAAAAGTAAACATTGTTCTTCATCTACATAGATTTCTTGCAGCATATACCAAAGAAAGTTTTATAGTCTTTTCAATTACAACAAAATACATAGTATTTGTCATTAGGCATATATCTTTCAAAATGGAAGGCATCATCGTGCATAAAATGAGCTGCTACACCCAATAACTTGTTCTGTATAGATAGGTTTATTAATTCTAAACCAAGCATTTTATTGAAACAACTATAAACAGATGGACAAAGCGTCATGTGCACATGGGAACTCACACATGTACCAATCAGTCTTCATAGAGATGGATGAGCAGTTACATTCAATCATTGCAAGAATAAAAAAGGCAAAAATGTATCACAAATAGCAAAAGCAATGTAGGCTATCCTGGTTGAGAGCTAGAGATATAATCTGGATCTGAGAATTATGAGAAATGTGAATCAACATAAAATGGCATTCTGGTGAGTTGTAGAGTAGAAAAGAGAATAGAAATAAAAGTTACAGTCGTTAGCATTTCTGATAAGGTAGTCAATGAGGCAGTGCTGATGGGAAGACAGAAGAGATTAGGAGGGGATAACTATTTCCTGCTGTGGAGATTACACATGGAAAGGTCTTTTAGTCAATGTTTTCACATATGTTTGGCATATATAATCTATATTATATTTTATATTCTGTCAAAGAAATATCTTTTTAATGGAAATAAGCATTAAATGTAGAGAATTAGGACCAAGAATAGCAATATTTCTTCTGTACAGGGCTGAAGAAATAAGAAATTGGGAAAGCATCTCTTTAGTTAATTTGCTATGTGTCATTTTAAAACTGTTATTGTCTGGGAAATATAGTTCCCTTTTAAGAACATTTCAACATACCTGAAGTTTAATTATCTGGTCAAGGGAGATAAAAGTTATCTCCATATAAGCTTAGTAAGATATAGGGCTCTAATTTGAACTCAGGTCCAGGAATTCTCATTTAGTTTTCATTAGATATCAATTGAGAACTAAATATGTGCCTGGTATTATGCTAGATGCTGGCACAACATGAAAAATTATATTAACTTGTTTTAACCAAACTAAAAATAATGTGATTTGGGTATCTCTCCAGATCTCAGATCAGGGCGAAACAATACTTTCCAAAAAAAATTATGTATTACAGAATTGTACACTTGAAACCTATGTAACTTTACTAACAATTGTCACCCCAATAAACTTTAATTAAAAAAAAGAAATTACGCTGAAAATTAATTAGTATATTGCTTTCCTGGAATGAAATACCATGATCCTTTACCTCTGATAATACGCTATTTCAGATACTGTGTTGATGTCAAAAGGAGTACAGTAAAGAGAAATGAAAGAACTTGTAGATAGTATCCAACAAAGAGAACAACAAACCATTATCTGATCATCTCACCTGTTGACTAGATATTCCCAGTTGAGTTGTATCCAGTTCCAGGCCATGGTCTTCCCATAGCTGTTATATGAGATATATCGGATGACTGTAAACACATCCTGAGTTTTAATAAGGTTTGAGTCCTTCAGTAAATCCAAATACCTAAGAGAAGCCAAAAATTCAAAATGAACTTTTAATGTTCACCCTTAGCTAAATTCCAATAGAGCATAGCTTTCATTCCTGTAATTCAGTTCTTGAGGCACCAACCAACAAAGATAATTAAATATGACAAATGATAAAACACAATTAAAAATTTTCTAACTTATTTAACTGTCTTTAAAAACCAACCTATGATTTGAGGACTAGTGATATATAAACTACAAGAACATTGAAAATTAAAATTACAGTAAAACCTTGGTTTGTGAGCCTAATTTGTTCCAGAGACTTCACTTGTTTACCACGTTAAAATGAATTAGAAATGTTTGCTCGTCTTGCAGAACACTCGCAAACCAAGTTACTTGCAATCCAAGGTTTTACTGTATTTTGAAAGTACTAAAAACAATAAAGATCACAATTTTAACTATTAACTAAAAGGTAACTGTATCTATTGAATAGAAGCACTTTACTTATTTACCTGTCATTGAACTATGAAAAAGGAGCAAGTTAAGGGAAAGTATTTATACTCTTAGTTTTTATGAAATAACAGTTAAACCTTATTTGTTCTTCCACAAATTGTAGGAAACAACCTCCTAATGTAACCTATATGGTTAGATTAGTTGGCTATAGTTATAGTATAATGTAAATAAGTCCAAATCAATAAATTGTGACAAAATCAATAGATTTTTATTAAATTTATGCCACGGCTGTATCTAAAGGGAATATCTCAACATGCCCTAGACCATTGAACTTCTAGAAACTGCACTGGAGTTGTGGACCCCTGAATTTTTGTGCAATTTATCTTTAACTCTCTAGTTCACAAGAGTCTTAGTAAGGCATCTAAGTACTTGCTAATTTTCTCATCAGATACAATCAGCACAATGACATCCAAGTAATTGATCAATGTGAGGTTTTGTAGACTGTCAAGATGATCAAGTTCTTGGTAGACTATCTTTGGGCAGTGAGCAGGAGAATCGACATATAACCCTGAGGCATGGTGGTGAAGGTGTACTGGTGACCCTGCCAGGTTAAAACAAACTGTTTCTGGTAGTCTTTACAAATTGGTTATTGCATTGTAGTTTGTAATTTACATTCTGCCTCTCCCACGAACCTATGAGTTGCTCAAGGATATATAGCATGTCTTACTCATTTTTAGTCCCACAATCTATATGCCTGTACATAGAAGGGACATCATTATTGTTGGTTAAATGAATTGAGTAAACTCAGAAACCACAACTAAGCAAAATAATGAATCAAGGCAGGAGTTAGTTGATTTGGGGCATAGGTGTAGAGTGGGAGAAGATACATAGATGAGCTTCAAGCAGTCATATCTTTTGAGTGGAATCTAAATATACTTTATTTATGTGTTATGCACATTGTGGCAGACACTCCTCTGCTCATAGAGACCAGTTTTGTTCTGGGCTTGGATCAAGGTATTCTTGATCCTAGGGAAGGTAGACTCCTACCTTAGCTCCAGAGTATCATGAAAGTAAAAGGAATTTAGATTCATCCTAGTCTACAAATGATCAACTGGTAGACCCAGTGTATCATCCAGAATGATCACATGTGACTCAGTTCTGGATTATGAGGGGGAGTGGAGATAGCTGACTTCTTAATATAAAAGACAGAGCCTTGTGAGAAGGAATTCTTTTGCTCCTGTCCTTCTTCCACTGAAAATATATGTTTGAAGACAAAATATTTGGATTTCTGAAAGTTATGAGTTATCCAACATGTTGAGGATGGCAGAGCAGAAAGGAAAAGAACCTAAGTCCTGGATGAAAATGTTAAACCACTGCACACAATTGAAAACTGTCTACCTCCAGAATTTTTTCATATGAGATTGCATTTCTTTATTGTTTAAACCACTATTTTATTTCTTGCAGGGAAAATAATTATAATAGATTTTCTTGGAAACATATCATACTTTAATTAGCATCTATAAGAGACTGTGACACATAAACCATGAAATACCATTGATAAAGTGAAAAAAAACTAACAACTCCAATTTACCTCGACAAAAGAGTAACATCCTTCACTGATGCTAACCCATACAGCAGTTTTTCTTTTTCTTGAGCTAACGATGTCTTCTGGTATTGATCAAGAGTGTAGTTCCATGAAGCCTCATTGCCAATGTTCTGCATTCCATACCGATATACCAGAAGTCTGAGATTTACAGGAACACTAGAAGAATAAACAGTGTTTCAGAGATTCCAATTTTTCGTTTCACAGTTTAAAGTCTTCTAGAATTGAAAACATGGTGAACAGTCACCTTCCAGTCCCATTTAGCCACTGCTGAAATAACCAAGAGGCATTGTCCAAGGCGTCTCTGTCTCCCATCTTGCACGCAAGTCCCAACACAGAGGCACGGAGTAACCTTAGAAAAGAAACACATACAAAGCTGGACCTTGAGCACTTTTCAACATATTTTAGAACACACTAACAGGTATACAATGAATGTTAGTTTTAAAAATGTAAGCAATAACTTTGTGAGGTGGTCTCCAGTATCATTCCATGCCAGGGAATCTGCAATGGGCTTCACTTGATTCCTGAAGTATTCCTGAAATAAAAGTACCATGTACAATGAGTAATAATTCATTATTTATCAACATGTCCTCATTTATTATAATCTACAGCCACATTCCCCTTCCCCTGTTGTGATATTCTTTCCTACTAGTTCAGAGAAATTTGGGCCTTTCCTCAGGAAAGGGATGTATTTAGTTTCTTATCACACTGCAATTTTGCTTCAATCCTGAAGATAAGACCATTCTGATTATTCTGTAGTGTTTATAAAACCTTGGGTAAGCCCCTTTTAACTTCCACTTCTTAATTAACATTTGTAAGAAATAGAATAACGATTGACATACTTACTGCACTAAGAATATTACTCTAGTATTGATGAAAAAATAATAATAATAACTAATATTTGTATATTGCCTTTGGATTACAAAGGATGTTTATATTATATGATCCTCACTATCTCATTACCATAGGCAGCCAAACACTGACACACTGACATTCCTATTGCACAAAGGAAATTAAGACAAATATTAAATCATTTGTCCAAGTTCTTTCATTCACTAAGTAAAAGAGCTAGAGATTTGAATCCAAAATTTGTTTAAAATTACAAGTGTTTTGCCAAAGTGCTACAGAAATCACAAAGCAAAGTATTTAGAATCACAATCTTATAATAAAATCTCAATGTGGAAATAACAGCAGTAAGAATAAAGAAATATAATGTTATATTTTGGTGAGAATAAATTCATTTTGACTTAGATAAAGCCATTAAAAATAGGATCTAGTTAGTATGGTTTAAAATGTCTATTTTAAATAAAATATTGATTATTGTATTCCTTATAACACTAAAATATATCTTTAAGTGGCATACTGAACCAGAAATACTGATACATTTCAAGTCGAAAAAATAAATAGCATCTCTTTGCTTTGACTAGTTAAGTGATTGTACTTTCCCTTGATTTCACTTGGAAGGCAGATATGCTTTTGTGTCTTCCAGGAGCTTCTTCTCTCAGAAATCTTCCTGTTCTGCTAATGGCTAAACATTTACTTTCATAAAATATACCATTAACATCACCTCAATCAAAGGATATAGCTCTTTATCATCTTCAAACATGCTAATGATGTAGGTTATAGCTGAAATGACTCTCTGCCATGGTAAAAAATCCTTTTCCATTTGGAGATACTTGGTCAAGTTCAGGGCCACCTTATAATCTAGAAGATCAGCTCTAAGAAAGGAAAAAAAAACTCCACAGTTAATTAAAAAAAATTATTTTCCATTTGCCTGAAAGAACTAATATGGGATTACAGAATTCAATGCTAATGCAATTCTTTCTGTTACATGATTAAGAAAAATGCATGTATTGTTGAAGCCCAATCAAAGAGGTTTATTCTTAATGATGTATTATACTTTCAAACATTCAATAGTAAAGAGGAAGACAAAACAATAAGACATACACCATTATAAATGTATCTTATTGAAATTATTTGCATTTTATATAGAAGAAACATGAATGACAGTACTCGAATCATGAATGCTTACAACTTTCCAATTGAGCTTATATTTCCCATTAAAACATCTCCTTTTTTTACATTTCCCCATAATATGACTAAATAAAAATAGATTCTGTTCCTCCAGAAAATATGAAGTTACTTTTGGCATTTCAAAGTTTAAATAATCTAATTTCTTCCTCCTTAGAAGGGATTCTAGAACCTCTTGAAATCATGCTCTTAGAAATCTGTTATGCTTCAAATTTTAGCCTAGGTTTTGGAAAGAGTTTTACATGGGAATTCTGTTTTTCCAAATTACACTTAGGAAGTTTAAATTAAAGAATACACTTTAAATTATGAAATTAGTAATACTGATGCATTGAGGGCTTTTATGTTTGAGGTCATTTTATGAATGAAGAATGTAATTATATCTTGAATTCTCCCCCAAGAGTTTGATTAGTGGGTGAACTAATATTGGAGAAGTAAATAAGGATAAAAATCTTTGGCATCATATGATTTTTAGTAAAGAGAGATAACACAGAGTTTTCAGTTCAGAGGGCTAATTTCTCCTATTTTTCTCAGTTCAAGGTCTGATTTGGAAGGATTTATATTTTGGAGCATTCAGCCTCCCTTAATAAAAGTATAAACAATATTGAGAAATGGAATGTTTTATTGAGACTGTTAAGTGAAAAAATGTCGAATTCTTTGTTGCTATTTGAAACTTGATGATTTTCTAATTTTAATGATTCTCCATTTTCCCGGTAGGTAGAGCAGCAACTATGTCCAGTTAATATTTTCTTAGGATATTTATGAGGAAAGTTGTTGCTGTGAGGATCAAATTAGCAAAGAGATTAAGTTTAGGGAGAATGACAGATGACTTGGTCAGAATTCAAGTGGGCTGGACATTTCTGGCAGATGAAAAAGTTAGAAGGTTCTTGGTTACAAGGACCAGAAAAATTGGCTTATTGGGTAGCATAAATGGAAGTAAGGAGGGCATCTGATGATACACAGGTTAGAAGCCCTGACTAAATACTGCGTACTCAAATGCTGAAAAATCAATATCCATCCTAGTGTCTTATTTTTCCAGCACACTTGATAGCTATGCAATAGTTTCACTTTGGTACCACTTGTTTTCTTTAAGTCTGAGTCATGTGGTCAGAACACTGGCCTGGGAGTAAATTTTTTATGTTTGATTTATAGAGAAAAATATTTTGAGGATTAAGCTGATATCCTTTTCATTTCCCACAAATCATGTTACTCTGCAGCTCTTACCCATGGAATCAATGGTATTCGATACTTCAGAGGAAAAGCAGTATCATTTACAATTACGATTCTCAAATGTTAGCATATATCAGCAACACTGGAAAGTTGGTTAAATCACAAGTCTTGGGTCCCATTCTCAGAATTTCTGATTCAGTGGGTCTGGAATAGGGCCTAAGATTTTGCATTTCTCACAGGTTGCTAGGCAATGCTGATTTTGCTGGGACTACATGTGCAGAACTGTTTTTTAGAACAAAGACATCTATAGTGCCCCTCCTAGATCGCTTTATAGCACTAGGTTGGTTCACAGCTCTTCTTCAGAGAATAGCCCTTGTTCAAATATATCTATCTTGCCTAAGAGGTTATGCAACTGCTACTCCTGACCATTAATTGTCTGACTCAGGAATGCAACAAGCCAGCCAGGGTCCCTCAAGTTGGACCCACTTTGTGGTACAATTCATAGCTTCCTAGTAGATTCTGGCAGATCCAGACTCTGGATGAGACCATATTGTTGCTCAGCTTTTCTCTATCTTGCACTCCCTATCTCAAGAGATAACCACATGTTCTCTCTCAATAACCACATGTACAAGAACCCCCATCTCACACTCTGCTTCTAGGGAACTCAACCTAAGACAGCATTTTTATTCAACTTTGAGTATCAAGTTCCGTTTCTTTTTAAATGCATGGCAAATAGCAGTTCTGAAAGCCAGACTTCATTGAGAATTTTATTTCTTCACAATCTCCCATTTATATAGTGAAAACCCAGGCTGAGGGACTTAAATCATAGAATTTTCCTATAATTCATAGTGTAGAGAGGATGGAGGCAATAGCTTAAAGTTCCTACCAAACTCAATGGAGAAGAAGAGGAAAAAGAGGTCCTATAAAGGGAAATCTTGGGCGGAGGCACACAGGAAGTTTGGGGAATCTTGTACCAAAAGATTTGTTTTGGCTTCCCTGGGTGTGACCTGGAAAGCCCGAATAGTCCTCAGAGAAACCTGGGTTAAGCATATTGTCTTGTTAAACATGGCTCTTGAATGGGACAGTAGAATGGTCGAGAGAGGTGCCTGGGTGGATGCAAATGACCCCACATGCTCATGTTCAGCCAAACCTTCAGGTGGTGTGGAGAGTTTTGGAAAGTTCTCATGTATCTGGTCTCTCATCGTTAACTCGTCAGTTAAATTCAGATTTCTGGCTTAAAATGTCTCTTTGCAATCAACTACATCCTTTTTGATCTTTCCCCATTCCCCTACTTCTCCCTTCTTTTAAAGGGCTCTCCACAAGGAGGTGGGACAGTTGCTTATCCAGTTCTGTGTTGTCCGCTGCTCACATGAGCAAACACCTATAAAATGGCAAAACTAGTGTACCTAGAGGGCTGTAATCTTGGCATGACTGATGTTCATCTGGTGGTTTTCATTTGCTAACCTGGTCCTACCTTGGATATGATTGGAGCCACTGCTCCTCAAAGCCTGGCTAGAATTCTGTATGTATCATTAGCTTAGGTGCTGTTTTAAGCTGTCATCTCTGCCATTCTCTCACCCAGGGACTCCTGCTCCCACCCATGGGCTTGTTAGCCACCAGTCTCCATTTTCCCTTATGTTATTTTTCACCCCTCTCCTGGGTTGAGCACACAGTGGGCAGCACAGCACAATATAAGCTATTGAAAAGGATAAAACCTACCACAACAGGTGTACAACAAAGGATTATTTCTGTCTCAGTTGTGGCAAGGCCCCCAAACCAGGCCCCTTGGCCTACGCTCCAAAGTAAGATGCAGGCCCACCAAACTGGGACTAACATGGTCAGAAACAGGCTTTGTGACCCTTAGCTGATAACCTACCACCATCCTAATAAAGAGGCTGGAGCAGGTAAGGGGAAAATAGTGACATTTTAGAAGAGGACTTTTGGGAGTGCTGTCAGTATGCTGTGAGGCCATGTCCCCTCACATCAAGCCTAAGAAAGGGGCCTTGAATAGGACCACTTGAAGAATCTTATCTATGTGTCCTGGAGCTTGGAGGCATAGCGGTCTGGTGTCTGATACCCCAAGAAATCGAAAGGCTGAGAGGCTATGGTTGGCTAGTGGTTGGCTCTGACCTCAGAGTGAAGAGATGGGACTGCATGGGGCAGCCTGCCCTTCAGACTTTGTCGGGGCAAAGAATACATGAATGCTTGCTATGGACCAGAAGTGGGTCGGAGGTGTTCCCTTGCTCCTCATGAGAACTGCAGGGGAAGTACCCTTGGCCATGAAATAGGTGTGAGCAGCAAAAGCACCATGAAAATGCCACTTGAGGAAGAGTCAGTGTTAGTCATTTACAAGGTTCAGAGAGGACCCAAAGTAGAAAGCATGTCAGGATCTTTCCTGTCTTCATCTGCTCTCCTTGCCTTAATGCTGGAGGAACCCAATGGAAGCATAATGAGTGAGAAGTAGAAGTTCCACGCAGGGAAATGGAGAGGGAATCAAGCACATCGGCAGCTGGCCAGAGACGGGGGCTGGGAGAGACTTTAAATGAAGTTGAAAACTTTGATGATTTCACTGGGCGGGGCATATAATCAAATGGAGCCTGTTTGCAGGACTCAAAGTGACTGGGGAATTTTTACTCCTTATCTCAACAAATGTGTCCAGCTGGATATTCCATCCAGGGCAGTAAGCGTGCTAGCTCCTCAGATTTGGGGACAGGGAAGTTAAGCATACAGTCATTTTTAGATGCACCCTTTTAGTCCTGCTTGTGAAACATAATAGTTACATTTCTTTTTGAACACCTGAGTAAAACAGTGTAAATTCTGATCCTACCACAGGCACTTATCTATTTAACTACATATTTCTCCTCTTTTCCTCTTAAAGTTTCAGAGCGATCTGGATTAATCTCTGATCAACACTGGTGGAGTCTGTTCCTCTCTGATTCTTGTTTTTGTCATGTGTTGCCGAAGGAAATTGGATGGTAGCTCAATAGCTAAGGTCATAGCTCAGGCATTTTCCAGATTGGTTGTTGTGTGGTTCTACATATTTTTTGGTTTTCAATTTTTTTCACTTTCTTTCTTTCTGCAGCTCTTCAAATTTTCATGGGACTATAGCCAAGGAGTTGAGCAAATGCGAGAAAGTCTTTCACTGTGTGAGTTATTTGCTTTGCACAATGTCTCAGAGAGAACTCTTCAAGAGGCTTTCACTTCTTAAAGCAAAAAGAGTTGTTTGCAGTGCGTTGTGATGAAAATTAAGCTATAAAGACATTATGGTTTTGTGCAATTTTTAACAGCTAAGATACTAAACTGTGGAAAAGGTCATTATGCATTCACAGGAGAGTTTTCCTGAAAAAAATTCTAAATGGTTCTATTAGGTTTCAAAATATTGATCATCTTCTTTCACCACTTAATTTCCCGGGTCTATACAGTGCCTTGTACAGAGTAGGTGCTCAATTAATATTTATAATGCTTGACTTACATACCATCATATAATGAAAATACAGTAGTTCCCCCTTATCCATGGGGAATATGTTCCAAGACCCCCTGATGGATGTCTGAAACCATGGAGAATACCAAACCTTATAGAAACTATTTTTTCCTATACTTACATACCTGTGATAAAGTTTAATTTACAAATTAGGCAAAATAATAGATTAACAACAACTAATAATAAAATATAACAATTATAACAATATACTGTAATAAAAGTTAAGTGAATGTGATGTTATTAAGTAAAATTAGGGTTACTTAAATACAATCACTGTGATACTGCATCAGTCAATCTGATAACACAAACAGCTACTAAGTGACTAATAGGCAGGTAGCACATACAGTGTGGACATGCTAGACAAAGGGATAACTCCTTTCCTGAGTGGAGCGGGACAGTGCAAGATTTCATCACATTCCTTGGAACGGCACACAATTTAAAACTTACGAATAATTGTTTATTTCTGTAATTTTCCATCTAATATTTTCAGACTGCAGTTGACTGCAGGTAACTGAAACTGCAGAAAGCAAAATCGCGAATAAGGGGAGACTACTATAATTAATCTGCTATGTATCTAGGAGATTAAACATAGAGATTCACTGAAGGGAATCATATTGTCTATCCCCTACCAAGGGAATCTAGATTACAAATTCAGAAGAGCTTTTCTAAATGCTTCATTGTTGCTACTAATCAATGGTAGATGCTTTTTTGTCAAGTAATACAATTTATTGAGCACTTATTATAGGCCAATGTTTTGGGTGCTTTATGTGATTACCGCACATATTCCTCAAGAGTCTTATAAGAGTATCTCCATCTTACTAATAAGAAAATTGAGCCAGAGAGAGGGTAAGGAACTTACTCAAGGTCATAGAGAACCGGAATTTTAATCTGGTTTGAAAAGCTGTTTTTTAACCCTATAAATTCCCTTCTTAAAAAATTTCAAGGTTTTCTGATGTCCAGTAGCCTATCTGTGTAAAATAGTTCTCCCATGCCTTTAGTGGTGTTATGCAATCCTTCCAGCCACATATTCAGCTCATATTTAATGAGCATCTATAATGGGCCAGGCACAGTCAGGAGCTAGGGATAAAGTGAATAGGACCATGATCTGGGTGTCTACCCTCATGAAAATTAGTTTGGTGGGTGAGATGGACAGTTAATAAGCAATGGAAATATAATATTGTGGGGAAATATAGGGTTCCATAAAAAGGATGCCCAACCCAGACAAGGGGCCATTGGGGGCTTCCTGAGGAAGTAGCATCTCATTCTCACTACATTGCTCATACCTAGGATGAGACCACTACACAACTAGCAAAACAAGTCAGCTGTGTCCCTAGTTTCTATAGACATGCCAGAAATTTAACAAATAACGGTTGAGTTACTGGTGTTAGAATACCTGAAAAAACAAAACAAAACCCTACGGTTAATTACTCCTCCATTCCCCCAATCTATGTTGATTATTATTTTTTTAAGTTTAGGTTACCTTCAGGCCATGAAAAAGAAAATTGTCAAATTTCCTAAATGGTATCTTAATTCTAACCAATCCTAGAGCACCATGTCTCATTCTTCTTACCACTGTGACCTGAACAAGATTTGATGACTTTAGCCATTAAAATATTTTAATAGGCTTTGGTCTATTGAAGTCATGAAACATGTTGTTTGTCTTTTTATTAAACCAAATTATGAAGGGGTACTTTTAAACATTTGTAAATGTCACACCTAATTAGCTCAAGGACTTTGATATAGACGAGCCCTACTCAAAGTCAATAGGGTAGGTGAGTTTGTATATGTATGTTAAAGGTTAATATCAGTATTTTGGTTATAAAGTTCATCTGAGCTTTAAAAAAGTTAAAGAAAACAATAATATTATAAATGATGGCTTTAGATATTCTAAATTAAAATTACTTCTTGAATTTTGTTGTAATTCATTAAAAATTCATATGACAAAATCCAAACTATTTTAAATGATCTATCTCATTCCAAAACCCACCTTGCCAAGGCAAAAGCATCATCAATAAAACTTGCACGATCAGCAGAAGAAAATCCCTGGGAAGAGGAAGAAAAAGAAGTAAGATTCTTAAAGCAATGTGTGTGGGAAAATTAATATCATTGAGATGTTCTTCTTAGAACAAAAATAAAATAATTCACAGTCATAGCTGCTCTTACCATGTTGTTGGAAGAAAGATCGGTAGCTATCCTGTACCAAGTTGGTTCTTCATAATTTACACGATAAAACCCAATATGATCTGGGTTTATTTTGAGAAAAGCATTTCCACTAGGATTAGAAGGGTTCAAAGTGATTCCTGTGGTAGTAAATAAACACTAATGAGAAACATATTTGCATATATTGTAAACATAGAGAAATTAGACCCAGAGGGTAAAAAGAAAAGAAATATTAGCTCAAAGAGACAAGTTTGATTTTGATCCAAAGCCCCAAAGTCTAATTCTTATTTAGTTGCCCAACTTTAGAATGTCTCTGTAGTGCATTAGCTGAAAAAGAAATAAGTAATGTAAATAAGTTTCTTATGATTTGTGACTTACACTTCTTACTGGCAGAAGCTTTCAAAATGGGTAAAAGAATTTTGTGCTTATCACTCATTCAATAAAAGAAAACAATACCTAAAAACAAAGAAGTCCATGCTTTTTTGGGGGTCGTTCATGTATTCATGATGGAATAATTACACAAAGAATATTTACTGGGGCATTCTGGGGAGGGGACGAAAATGTAAACATTTAAAAAATACTTTGTTTATTAAAATCAACATTCAAATTGATGGAAATGGCTATTGCTAAGCAGAATAACGATTTGAGAATCAGTAACACTTTTAAAATGTCAAGAAGACTTGCAATAGAACTGAAATCCAAACACAACATTCTTGATTTTATAATCCATTTCAGACTTGCTCTTCCAATTTTATTTATCTTTGTAAAGTCTTATACATCCTTATTTCAATTGATTACATCAATGCTTTTTCATCAGTGGATTTACCAAATTAACTTTCTTTCTAAAGTAGCATCCACTATTTACATAAGGATCTAGTAAATAAATTTTAGAAGCTCAACATTGAAGAAACAGAGACATGTTTTAGGTTAAAAAATTCCTTAAAATAATAGCTATGCTCTGACATGACTAGATTTGTTAGGAATACTCCTATGCTTTTTAATTTATATATTCTTTTGTTTGCATAGACAATTTAAATAAGGGTGTGGGATTACTTAGTATATTTGAGGAATTGCAAATAGTTTAATGTAATGACAGTGTAGGCTGTGATATTAGAAGACAGGAGATGAGGCTGGAAACAAAGGCTGAGTTTCAAGGTGAAGAACCACATGTCATGTTAAGGAATACATCTTCTGTTAACTTTTTTTTTTTTTTTTGCTTTTTAAATTAAAATTTAAATTTATTGGGGTGACACTGGTTAATAAAATTATACAGGTTTCCAGTGTATAATTCTATAATATATCATTTGTAGATTGCATTGTGTTCACACCCAAAGTTAAATCTCCTTTTGTCACCATATATTTGAACCCCTTTATTCTTTTCTATTTCCCTCACTCCCTCCTTTCTCTCTGGTAACCACTAAACTATTGTTTGTGTCTGAGTTTTTGTTTGTTTGTCTTCGTTTGTTGCTTTCAGTTTTATATCCTACATATAGGTGACATCATATGGTTCTTGACTTTTTCTGTCTGACTTATTTCTCTTAGCATGATATTCTCAATATCCATCCATGTTGTCACAAATAGCAGTGTTTCATCTTTTCTAGTGGTTGTTTAATATTCTATTGTATACAGAGAGTGCCAGAAAATGCATACACATTTAAAAAGGAAAAAACTATGTTAAAATTGTAATAGTATATACAGATAACAAAAAGTAAATACAAATCACGTTTGACTTCTGCAATTATAAGAGGTGTTCAAACCAGTGCAATTTTAATACAGTTTTTTTTCTTTCTTAAAATGTGTATACATTTTTTTTGCACCCTCTGTATATGTGCTACATCTTCTTTATCCAATCATCTGTCAAAGGACACTTTGGTTGTTTCCATGATGGAGAAGATTTTTAAGCAGGGAAACAACATGTTCAAGTCTGTTTTCTAGAAAAATAATTTTGATAGTGGTATGGAAGACATATTAGACAGAGATTCTAGAGTCTATTGTAATAATGTAGGGCAAGAGAGAATGAGGGCTTACATTAAGGTGTAGATGATGAAAATAGAAAGGAGATGATGTATTCAAGAGAAACATCACAGGTAAAAATCAACACAATTCTTTTTCTGTCTTGATGTGGATAGTTAGAGAGGAAAATGTCTTGCATGATTGGATGAATAATGGTGTTGCCAGTAGAGAATAGAGGGAAATGAGTCAGTTTTGGAGGAAAAAATGATTTAAATTTTGGACATGTTTGCAAGGTTTGGAAGATATCCAAGACACAGTAGTTTTTCATCATATATTTGTACGCTCTTCAACAAGACAATACGTTTCTTTAGGACCTTTCAGAGTAGCTACTTGACAAATTATAAACCTTTACCTCACTCATGTAGTATTTATCTTTCTTTGTCATTCTCCCATGGACAAGTTGTTAAAAGGAAGCTAATCTTTTGGCAACCGTATACTTCGAATGTTTGTATCAAGAGGAGAGCCTCTTGCTAAGCACTGAGCCATGTGTTACAGGAGAAAGCACAGAAACTTTTGAGTCTGACAGATCTAGGATAAAAATCCTTGCTCTATGAATTACTAGCTGTTTGATCTTGGCCAAATCACTTGACCTCTCTGTGTCCCAGTTCACTATGAGGGAAACAGGGATAAAGATCCTTCACAGGGCTTTTGTGAAGATTAAATAAAATAACATAGGTAAAGTGTTGGTCATATAGTTATGTGTCCAACAGATGGTAGCTATCCCATTATAATGAAAGAGGATATGCTGCCAGTTCTATAAATAGCGAAGCAAATATAAATAACATTGAGAAGTTCCTGGCAATCCATCTAAATACTGCAGTATTTTAGTGTGCTTTATATATACCTAGTTAAGCCTGTCTAGAGTTACTGTGATTTTTCTCACTTTATAAATGAGGAAGTTGAGATCCAGGAAATTAGTAGTTAGAGACTTTCCAAGTTCATGCTACTTTCAGAACAGTTGTCAATGGCAAAATACTGTTGGGTTGTTTAGTTACATAATGAAGTAAGTAGGACTAAAATATTGATGCCTATTCCAGATGGTGCATAGAAGTAACATTATGTTTTTAATCTTTGTGTGTGTGTGTGTGTGTGTGTGTGTGTGTGTGTATGGAAGATACACACAATACACAATACACATAATGGAACTTTACTGTTTTTATGATTAGTAATCCTTTTCATTTGAAATTATATTGTAAACATCTTGTAATTTTGTTTTATATAAATAAAAATGGAAATTTAATGATCATATAATACTCTTATAAATAGCTTTATTTTGCTTCTTGCTAATTTTATGCACCTCTAAATGCAATAATTAGACTCCCCTGTTAATGCAATATGTAAAGCTATCACAGCTTGGTGACATCTCTGAAATAATCGGTCGACCTGAACTCTCTTTACCCTATTAAGTAAACGTTCTTCCTGGGAAGAGAAAATCTAATTAGCTGACATGCTCATTCTGGTTCTCCTTGGTCAGTATATTTTTATTCGTGTAAATTAACAAATTAACATTCTTATATGTTTGGTTTATGTGAATAAATACTCCAAGATTTGGTTGACCAGGGAGGACTTGCTGAAATGGAGCTTCTGAACCTGCAAAACTGAATCCATAATGATCCAATCAAAATTCAACATTCCATGAGGCTCAGCTTGAAAGAATGAAGAAAATCTCTTATCCTCTCTTTGTTATTAAATGTAAAGATATATTCCCATCATTATTTTGATATAAAATATTTACATAGAACTACTATCAAATTTTAGCAATAGCCTATTTATAGGGTAGTCAGAATTTGGCTATCTAAACCATCCAGAATGGATCCTCTAATCTAAGAATTATGAAGACATCACAAAGTCTATACCTTTTCCTATGCCCTAGACCCTATGTGTTTAGGAATGCCTATTTTAAAATATTATGTGTTAGCAAGATTTGTTATACAATATTATACGTTAATCTTCAATTCTTCTAAATGTTAGAAAGCAGCAGATTAACAACAAAAAGGTGGTATATTACTAAAGGTAGATGTACTGACAGTAGCCAAAATAGTAGCTGATACAAAAGATAGAGAGATAATTAAAGAATGCACAGGTAACCTCTAAAAGCACAGCAGTGTGGGACGTAAGCCTTCATTAAACAGCAACTTCATAAACCCTTAGCAAGTCTTGGGATATGCACAGCACTTTGCTGGGAATAGGATGGGCAGGAGACAAGGAGTATGTTGTGTAAATTGTAGCTTCAAGGAACTTATGCTTTACTTAAAAAAGAAGACAGAGCATATTAAGCTTAAACAACAATGATGATGTTTAAAATATAAAGGAATAATGCTAGGAATAAGGATGAATGAAACTGACAGCATAAAATATATTATAGATGGCAAGAAGACAGATTTTTCATGGCAAGTTAGAATGTCCAGTGATCAAGTCTCTCTTCCTTTGCTGCAAATAACATGTTTATTTTTTTTAACATTTAAAATATTATGTACAATAAAAATGTAAATAAAAGACTTTGTGGGGGGCGGGGGGGGGGAGTCCCACCATTGCCTGGGAAATTTCCAACTGATGAATCATCAAAGAAACCAAGAGGAGAGAGGTAAGGCTGGTAACCTGAGCTCACTGCCCATCCTGTACACTCAGGACTTGATCATCATCTGTGCGCTGAGCTGAGAGCTGAAGATGTCCCCAAACAGGAAACAGGAACTTAGCGCATAGCCTAAGAATGGAGCGGGCACTTTGAAGTAGGAAGGGATGTCTAGTTTGCTTCTGGCTAAGTGACAAGTCATGATTCTGAAGTTTCAGATAAAAATAAGTCTGTCATCAAAGCTTGGTGGACATTAGATCTCATTCATTCAATAAACAATTACTAGGTACTTGCAGGAGATATACAACCAGCACCACCACCACCACAAAAAATAAGCTCCATTTCCTCAAGGAATATTCTATGGGGAGGGGAGAGACAGATAAGTCAATAGTTATAGCAAAAAAGAAAAAAAAATAGTGTTAACTGTAATGACAGAGAGATAAAGGACTTGCTGTGAGAGCCCTCAGCTCTCTCACTTGCATACTAGCATACTCTGTCCCGGGCACAATTCCCGTCTACACTTGGTGAAGCCTATTACCCATTTAAACTCTACTTTCAGCCCCCCAAACTCTAAACCTAGATGTCTTTTTCTTTAGTAACTTTTCCTGAACCCCCAAATCAAGCCCAGGGCTTCTCCAATGAGCGCCCTTGACTATTACCACATGAAGCACTTATGACACAGTTTTATATTTCCCTGCTGACCCGTCAGCACCCTTCCGAGACAGTAAGTGCCACAGGATAAAGATTGAGCTTTTTTTCCTCAGTATTGTCTCCGTGCCTATCCCTGTGTCTGGTGCATAAGGTAGTTCTCAATACATACTTGCTTTGAAAGAACTAATTAGTTAATTATTAAATTTATTATTCAAATATGCTGTCTAATATATACGTAATACATCTAAGAAAAATGTTTATTGTTGCTAACTCTTAAAATTTATTTTATGAAGCACCTGAGTAAGCTTTAGTTATCTAGAAAATTCACTTGTATGGAAAACTTATTCCATGGAAATGCTGGGTAAATTGTGTTAGTGTAAATGAAACATTCATGCTTTTAAATTTGTAAACAGCAAATCAAGCAGCTTCCAAGACATTCTTCCAACCCTCAATTAACCAATGGTGACCAATGGGGAAAATCTGCAGTAATAGTTAAACCAAATCCACTGAAAACCTCCCAATGAAATCCTAGCCTTATCTCACCTTTTATCAGTGCTATTACACCTTTTTAAAGGTGACTTTGTTTCTGTCTTCTCCATTTTCCTGTGGCAAATGTGCTTATGAATAAGAAAATGGTCAGAAGACTGATCAGGAAAGACAGAGCATGGTACTTAAACACAACATAATCACATAAAATACCAAGAGAAAATGGCATTGACTTGGGAATTCTGGGAAAATTAAGGGGACTTGTGGATCACAACACTTCTTGTAATTGTTAGCATAAGTGACCAAGAGAAAGTTTTGTTGTGAAACCAATAGAAAGGGGTCTCACCTTGACAATAGCAAAGCTGGTAGAGATTATAGTAAAAATAAAAAATCACAGAAGACTTTGTAATGAAAGTAAAATACCCCAAAGGTGAAAAAAATACCCCCCAGAATCCACACAAAAACTTGTACACAAATGTTTATAGCAGCATTATTCATAATAGCCAAAAGGTAGAAACACTCCAAAAGCCCATCAGCTGATGAACAGATAATCAAAAGGTAGCATATCAATATGACGTGAATATAATTTGGCAATAAAAAGGAATGAAATAATGATACATGCTACAGAAAAGATGTACATTGAAGACATTATGTTAAGAGAAGCCAGTCACAAAATACTGCATACATTATTCCTTTTATATGAAATGTCCAGAATAGGCAAACTTATGCAACAGAAAGAAGATTAGTGGTTGCTTAGGGTTAGGGGTATGAGAAGACAGAGAGCTTAACAGCTAAAGGTTATGGAGTTGAGGTGATTAAAATGCTCTTCAATTGACTGTGGTGATGGTTACACAAATCTGTGAATGTCATAAAAACCACTGGATTGTACAATTCAAGTGGGTGAATTGCATATCATGTGAATCATATCTCAATAAAGCTGTTTTAAAAAATGATTTACTGGAACTAGGGTAAAACTTTACTTGCTAAGGGAAATATTACCTAATTAATATTTTAGAATATTTTGTAGGAGCAGATAGGTATATATAAATAGAGGGTAGGAGCCACAGGTGAAATTTCATCCCCAATGTTATTCTGAAACCAAGTCCTCATGAGATGGGGTGAAGAAGAATCTCATTTATCTTAGATAAGAAATGGTTTTTAAACATAAAACAAATACAATGGTACAAAGTATAACGAGCAGGATTCTTCTGGGATAAGAGCTAAAACATGCCTTATTTAGTATTTTTTTTTTAATGATTTGGAGCAGAGAACATGTGATCAGTTCTCCTTGTTTTTTATACAACTAAAATTTTTCAAGAAAGAAAAAAGACAAATCAATGGAAATAGAATACAAAAATATATTTCAAATCAACTTAAGTGAGCTGAATTTAACACAGGTAAGTGCCAAGTAATTCATTGAGGGAGATGGATGGATGGATGGCCGGATATAGATATAGATAGTGCCTTGAGCTATTGGTGACAAATTACAACTTAGAAAAGATAATTTGGAGTAAAGGTTCTAATATGCTGATTTGGGAAAATGATAGGTATAATTTAATGACAATATTTAAAATGTCAGGCTTGTCACATAACATTTTAAGAAATTCAATGGCTTACTAATCTGATATAAAGAAAAAAGGAAGAAAGGAAGGAAAGAAGGGAGGAAGGGAGGGAGGAAGGGAAGGGGGGAAGGAAAGGAAGAAAATTTATAGATTGATCCTCCAATGGTTGGGTATGTGACCCTTCTCCTTTGGATATGGGTATTTATTATTGTGTCACTCTTGGTAAATCACTACAAAGAATATCTTAAGGTAGAAAAATTCCATTGTTGTAGATAGATAAGGATGAGTACTCATTGATAAATTGTTTAAGAGGTCTCGTTTAGCTGAAATTTGCATCATGAGTTCCAGCTTTGCTGTTATTTCTTTACATTTATATTAGTTTAATGTGGTATATTAATCCAAATAAGAAATAAATCAATTGATAATATTTACCTCCTGTTTCTGACCTATTGTAGAATGTAATATTTGACACATCATCTTCAGTCCATTTAACTGGAATATTCCATGTGTACCTAAAGTTTAAAAAAAATTTAACTTTTATTACTAAAAAATAAAAACATATCCGAAGTAAAATTACTTTAAAAAGCAATAGACAAGCATCTTTTCCTCATAACTGATCATCCAATGTAAAGTATACAATTAATACAGTTAATATAATACTCTTTAGTGATGAAGATAGGCCATGTAACTGCTTTCAATTTCTATAAATCTTTAAAATTTGAAACTTTGTATCAAAAAGTTAGCTGAGGATGAAGAAGATTATTTTAATAAAATGACTTGAGGCTTTGGAACAATGATATTGCATAAACACAGAGGGTGCCAAAAAATGTATACACATTTTAAGAAAGAAAAGCTGTATTAAAATAGTAATCCTCAATATATACCCAAAACAAAACAAGTCATATTTGACTTCTGTGATTACAAGAGGTGCTCAAAGTGGTTACCATCAGCATCCAGACACTTCTGATTACGGCGAACTACTGCTTGAGCAATGTTGACCAAAGTGTCCACTTGTATACATTTTTCTGGCAGCCCCAGTATAACACATTATGTAATATAATAATATTGATCATTTACATACATACTTGGACATACTCTAATATGCTCTAGTTTCTGTCAATGAATACAAAGCATTTTTAGAAATCGGAAGACAATCTTAAAATGCTATAAAGGAAATAACACATTTTATAAACTGTATTGAAATTACACCATCATCATCTCCTCTTAAAGTTTCTCATGCTCTTTAAATATCTCCTATTTAGAACTGATGTACTGGAACTGATGTACTGCAAAGGCAATGTCATCAGACAAGCATCTTTCAGGGCATTTTAGTGTTTTCTTTAGCTACTCACTGATGGAGCTGGGGGAGGAGGCTAGCTTTGTATTTTGATACGATATATATTTAACATTTTAGTCTTGAAATCTCATGAAAGAGGTCTTAAATGTCTTTTTGATTGTTCATTCTCATATCATCTCCTATCAGTCAGAAAATACAGGTGATCAGAAATACAGAGAAGAATCTGTTTTGGGGTTTGGGTTTCAACTCAAGGTTGGCCTTGTTTTTCTTCCCCTGTGATTGTTCAAGTTTCTCATAGCGAGTGGGGGAATGATATTTCCCCTTTCAAAGATCTAATACAATTATAGCTATATATTACATATAATACAATATATGTAATTCAGAGAGAATATATTTTGCATGAAATAATTGTGATGTAATTCCAATATAGTTTATAAAATGTGTTATTTCCCTCTACACAAAAGGAGTAATCCTTTGTTTTATACCTTTGTTTTATAACTATTGAAATGTTTTATTATAGAATTGAGTTTTTACTAGCTCTCTTGGAAGATTTTATTGCAGTGGAATGTTTTTGGCTAGAAGTTTCATAGAACCAATACATAAATTGGCCTGGGTCCTCTAGCAGGCATTGTCAGTGCTCCGCCCTATCCCCTTGAGTCTTTTGGTCATTTTTGTACACCCCAGAATCCACTGTGCTTTCCCTGCCAATAGCCAGCACTTGGGACTCTCCGTCAGAGGACTGCCCTCTGGCTGCCTGCAAGGAAAGCTAGAAGTCCCTGAGAATTTACATTCTTGGATGCAGTCCTTCGCCAGTGATGGATGGGCATGAGCATCTTGCTTGTTTCATTTGTCAGGACCACTCTGAAGCTCCATCTTCAGACACTGTCTTCTGCAGGACCTGCTCACTATTGCACTTTAGCTGCTTGATTTCCCCGCTTCCCTTTCCCGTACCAGTCTTTCCGAGAAACACTTCTTAATGAATCACTTTTCCTTTAATGATCACCTCAGGGTCTGCTTTTAGGGAAGACAACCTATGAGTGATCCCTTGTAGCTTCTCAACAGACAAAGTAGCACTTCTTAAAGTCACATCCTACCTACACATTTCATTCTTTCACTGCTCTGCTGATTTAGTGCTGCACATAGACTAACATTTCATTCCTTCTTGCCTTTCCCCAATGCCAACCTGACCTAATCAACAGAGCGTGCAGTGTCTGGATGCTCTATGTGTACAGTCAGGATTTCATATTTCAACTATCCCTTCTAAAACATGGTCTCTGCAATTATACTGTGCCTAAAAGTGGGCATAAGTTATATCATTAAGGTCATGTAAAAAATATTGCTCTGAGGTCTATAAGAGTATCATTAAGATTAAAAGTATAAAGGGTTAAGGCTATATAATTTTATAGTTTTAGAACCACTTACAGGATCTAATCTAATTGAAGTTGAGTAAAATAGTAGATTTGAGAGTACAAAATATCAAGAAATGGAAATAACATAAATGAAATGATAGAGTCTCCCCTTTGTTATCTAAAATTCAGGATTATCAGATTTCATTTTTAAAAGGTATAATTCACTTTTTTCTTTATATCTAACAATATAACAGGCTCTGGCAGTATTAAATATGGCCAATCTAATTTTCACCAAGGAAACTGACTTTGATTAACCGAAGGTAACACACCTACTCCCATTCTTCTACCTGTTTACATTGAGTAGACTGTTGGACATGTAAGTTTGCCCGATAGAGAGTTCCCCCTGATGGAGATGTGAAACTGGCCCATTTCAAAGAGATGGTTGACCCCTAGTGTTAAAACCATAACTTACACGCATGTGGGCCATTTGAATTGTAAAGTTTCTGATCAGTAAGAATTCCCTAATCTGGAATATTTAAGCAGTGAGAAAAGGGAGGAGGCCATTCAGTTTACAGTATAACTTAACTGACCATATTGTCTACTATATAGGAAAATATCTTAACAGAGAGCAGGTGGACTCTAGAGTTGGAGAAATGACTCATTACTGAGGGCATGAAGGCACATGTTATGATCTAATTTTTCAATCAAGAGAAAAATAAGGAAGGATGACTCTTTTTTTTTAAGATTTTTATTGGAGAATTGGGGGAAGGGGAACAGACAAGTTGCTGTTGTTTTGTTCTTCAGTCTAGTTGTGGAGGATGTTGCTTCACTGGCCCAAGTTGGCACCATCATTGCGCTCTTCCTGGGCAAGGCACATCAGTCGCCGGCTTCTGGACGGCCGCTCACTGCAGCTGCTGGCTGCTCACGCTGGCTGCTGGCTACACACGGTAGCCCATGGCAACCCACCTGCTGTCACCGGTGACTCACGGCAGCCCAGCTCCAGGTTGAGCTGTTGTTCAGCATCTTAGCTGTAGAGGGCAGTGTCACTGGCCCTCATATGTGGGATCCGAACCGGGGCCCTCTGGCGTCCCAAGCCAGCTCTTAACCAACGCACCACTCGGCCAGCCCAGGATGACTCTTGATATAATGTCTTTTTCTTGTTTATTTGCTCAGAAACTACTACTGATTTTTAGCAAATATTCTCAACAGGGAAGCACATGTTTTCTACGTTTATTTCCCTATACATATATACCTTTATGGTTTTAAAAAAAAATAGAACAATTGGATTGACATTATGATAAATGATCACTAAAAATCATGCATCTATAAATCTAAATAAAGCAAAAACAGTATCTGAAAGTAGGAACTAAGGAAAATAATAGAGAAAAGTATAAATGTTAATATAGTTCCGTGTTCTAAATCTTGATGAATACAATGTAAAGATTGATTATGACTGATGATATATTTAGTTCATTTGGCAATAAAATTTTTTGTTTGTGTGGAGAGGAATCTATAAACTCTCCAAAACCATAGCAGTTTAAAAAATTCCTCTGGGTCTTGGGCCGGTGGAGTGGCGTGTTGGTTAGGAGTTGGCTTGGGATGCCAGCTCTGAGAAGCAAGGCCCCAGTTTGGATCCCACATGAGGGCCAGTGATGCTCCGCTCTCTACAGCTAAGATGGTGAACAACAGCTTGACCTGGAGCTGGAATGCTGTGAGCAGCTGGAGACGGTGTAGGCTGCAGTGGGGCTGGCTGGCAGCTGGCGTGCACTTTCGTGAGCCACCGTGAGCTGCCGTGAGCGGCTGTCCAATGGCCAGTGAGTGACTGCCGCAGCGGGGAAGAGCGCAATGATAATACCAACATGGGCCAGTGAAGCGACATCTTCCATAACTAGACTGAAGAAGAAAAGGACAGCAACTTGTCTGTTCCCCTTCCCTGATTCCCCAATAAAATCTTAAAAAAAAAAATTCCCCTGGTCTAAAAGTAGTGTTGGCATGTCTTCAGCTCAGTGAATCAGTAAGTACATAGGACAAAAGTGAGCAATTACTGTGATGCTTTTACAATGGAAGTTTTGTTTCTCAGGAGACAAATTTTCTTTTTGATTTTAATATCCAAAGGCTATTAAAAAGCAGTATTAAATATGGTCGATCTAATTTACTAGAACATAAAACAATAATTATAAAACAAACATTTCATAGTTAACAAGGCAATCACAGAAATTAATATGTTGATTTTTATAGTTGAATTATCACCTGATAACAAGTCACCTCTATGTGACTTGTCACCTCTATGTTTCAATTAATTCTATGAAGGAAAGAGTGAAAAACAAAAGTTTTCACCATTATAATCTTTGCTTTCCACAATAAAGAAAAGATAAAGAAGTGTATACAGACACTCCCTGACTGATCTCCTTTGGTCTAGGAACTCAAATTTTCTTTTGTTTTGGAGTGAACTATTACTTTTCAGAACTTGGATTACAGCAAAATATCCAGTTTCTCTGAATGCCTTTTATTCTGGGACAGCTGATTGAGAATTTCAGGTGTGGCTGGTAAACGGGCCTCCCCAGGTTAGCACCACTGGCTTTCGTGACAATTCTCCAGTTCAGGTGCCAGCCATTATCTTGGAAGTAGCTAATTTAATAATTCTCAGTGCTCTTTATTCTCTGAGGCCTTGGACAGAAAGTATTTTGGCAATGTGAATTTTTGTAAACACCTGAGCATGCTGTTAGTGTGACTTACCTCCCAAAGTTCTGAATTGGAAATCAGAAAAGAGGTTCTGTTACTGAATGGAGTATGTTTCACAAAGTGGGTCTATAAAGATCTTTCATTTCTTTAGAAATATGGCTGTGAACACTATAGGACAATATTCTAAAAGGAGATTGTTCTCTGTAAATTCATTCGATTCAATTCCCTGAACATTGTTTATTCTTTAATTATAAATTTTAGCTGAGCTTAATCTTTGGAATATCAGCCACACCCGTTCAGCCATGGCCACTCTCCTAGTGCAGCCTGATCACTCCATCATCTCTAACATGGTCACTTTCTACAGCATCATCCTAACTGGTCTCCCTGTCCCACTCCTGCCCCTCTGATCTGTTCTTCATAGTGCAGCCAGAGGAGGATTTGGAAAAATGCTATCATGATCCTGCCAATTCTCTCCTTCTAGTCCTTGAATTTGTACACCATTGTTCAAAATCTTTAACATGGTCTGTGTGCCAGGCCTTTGCCTTTCTCTCCAACGTCATCTTCAACCCCTTTTCCTAGTACCCCTCTGTTGCCCAGTTTCTTGGAGCCAGACTGCCTGTGTTCAAATCAAGGCTCCATCGCATGCTTGCTGTGTAACCTTGACTAAGTTACTTAATCATTTTCTGCCTCCATTTCCCCATCCGTTATAATAAAATACTCTAAAGTGCTGTATATAGTGCCAGCCACTTAGTAAATGCTCAATGAGTATTGCATATTATATGTAGATGGCCCTTTTCTTTTTTTTTTTTAACTCTGGAGCCCTCATACATGTTGTAGTTTCTGTTTTGAACATCCCTGACAGTCAAACTTCTATACCAGTTACTCACCTTAAATACCACTTCCTCAAGAAAGAAGGTCCTCTGTAACCCTCCCTACTGCACTGTCCCTCCTGGCTAAACCAATAAATCAGGCTCAGCCTATCAGCGGACACATATGACAGAGAACAATTACTGTGAAACTTCCAGATGGAAGCTTGTTTTGCAAGAGAGAAATACTTTTAAATTTTAATATCTAAAGGCTCCAGCAGTATTAAATTTGGCCAATCTAATTTGCTAGAACACAAAACCATGACTAACTATAAAGAATGCAGATTATAGTTATTAAATGAAACACTTTCTGAGACATCTTCTTCACACCCTATAATTCTCCTTCCTTGTGTTATCTTAATTGCTACTGAATAATTGATCTGTGATGATTTATATATGTGACTATAAAATAAGGTCAATGAGACTATTAACAAATAGATAAAGAGAGTGAAGGTTGGTGCAAAATTCTATCTAACCTGTGTCAAGTTGAAAGAAGGGACAATAAGAATTACCATGGGTGAAATTGAAATGATGTCCAGGGGACCAGTGCCACACGATGTTGCTCCCATGTAGCTGGGAACCAGTCTAGAAGGGGGCTTAGCTGGGTAATGCAGGGCTGGGGGAGGTACACCCAGGGGCTGGAGATCCTGAGATCCTGATTTTGTTCTTTTCAGTTGGGAGCGGTTGGCACTCCATATGTAAAAATAGTCATTTAGTTATACAGAAATAGATGTAGAATTAAGACTTTTGTATAAGTTGAACTTATACAACTGTGGTAAGTTTTGAAATCATTGGCTATGTCATACATGTTTTGTCAGCTTTTGCAATATTTGAAATGTTGAAAAAATCTGGCAAATTAGAGGAAATGATGTATTTAATTTGTAATTTTAACTGTACTTCTTAGAATATCTTAATTCAGTAGTTGTGTTTGAATGTCTGGAATAGTCCGATTTTGTAGTTCAAGGTTTGATTCTTAATATGTTGAAAATGCCCAAGAAACTTGACATAGTATATTTATGAATTTTAATTTGTAAAATTCATGAAAATGTATAGGAAGTTTTTATAAAAATTAGATTTATAAATCCATGTCTTTAGGTGTTTGTGTTTTGAAATTATAAATGGATTTTAATAAAATTTTAAGTAGTTATGTTCAAAAGTTTCTCATAAATGACATATGCAAGAAAATTTGATTGACTTTGTAATTGCTGTTGAAATGCTCAGGGAGTTTCATTTGTGCAATTAGTAAATAAAAACATCCTGAATCAAAAACTAAAGAAACTGCTATTGAAAAGCCACAATTTTCTTCTCCACCTTTCCCACAGGCCAGCACCTTTCAGAACCACCCCTTTTAAATGCTGCTGGTTTTAGTTCTTCTGATGTCTAGTTCTGTAACTCTCAATACCTCCATTTTTATTTTTTAGATAGTATTTTTTAACACATCCATGAGAGAGGGTGATTTAGTTACTTATACTACTTTCTTCTTCATTCCTCATTTAACAGTCAAAATTGAATAAAGTAAAACTATTATTGCTTGGCTTTTTATAGGTTACAATTGTTCCTTTAAATAATATACTCATACTGCTATTTTTGTTTTGTAAATGTTAGTACTGCTACTTTCTCCTAACTCTAAAAGCAGGATGTCCTGTGGAGTGCTGGTAATTAACTGGCTTTGAGAGGGAGGCATAATATTTGCTGATTTCCATTAAGGCACATCATGGATCAATTTCACGCAACGGGCATGATGTCACTGGGTTAGGATTAGAGCCAGCTCCACCACATGATGGATTAGTAGCCCAACACTTTCTTCCACCATGTCTCCCTCTTCCAGCTCCTTTCTTCTGTCAGCTATTTTTTTTCTTGTTACAATGTTGACTGCTTATATGTACATTCTGTTTGCCACAATAACAATTTTTTTTTGTTATTTGTTATCCACTGGTTGATTATAAAGGTTTAAAGCCAATAAATAACATTTATGAAATTATTCTACATACAGATTGTTGGCCAAGAAGTGTGTTGGAGATACATTTCCTTCTCTATGGTCTGATTTCATGGCCTCTGAGTCACTTAAGTAAAATTTCCCACTAATGTCCTAACATAAGGATCAAGTGGACTCCTTTTTCTTATTCTTTATCAATGGCATAAAATCATTCTACCTGCTTCATATTTTTGAATCACAATTTTTACAAATAGCCTTTTAGTTTTTTAATATTTTTTTAGAATTGATCAAACTGATGGGCCCTCACCAAGTCCTCAAGTTTTTCCATCCTCCAAATCACTCTTTCCTGGAGATCACCTACCTTAGCCCCAGTTGTCTGCTCAGCGCTGTGAGCCCACTGGATCGCTGTTGGCCTGCATTTCCTTTCATGGCTTGAAAGGTTGAAGACACTGTTTCCTGGATTTCATCTCTTCCTCTCTTTTTTTGATTTATTCATATTTTCCTCTCCCTCCTGCAACCCCCCTGGAGTACCGTATGGAAAGCATTTTCTGGGGCTGCATGTCTAAAAATGTCTTTTCTGTGCTTTTGCATTTGGTTTAGTTTCACTGGCTAGCGAATGAGAGATTGAAAATATTTTTTGCTTCAACATTTTAGATGATTGTTCCATTTTTTTTCTTCCATTCAGGGTTGCTGTGGAAGACACTAATGCCAAACTAACTCATGTATCCGTTTTCTGAAATTTCATGACAATGTAGCTAGATATGTTTTTTGTTTTTTCCTTTTGTACCATGTACACAATGGGGACTTTTCATCAGAACGCAGGCGTCCTTTATTATTTCTTTGGTATCAATTTCCCCTCAAGTTTCTGTTTTCTTTTTTGCCAGACTTCTATAAGTTGGGTGCTAGACTTTCCATGTTTATCTTCTTTCAAATTTGCCACTTCTATATGTGTTTGCCTTATATTTTTAGAGAATTCCCCAAATTTATTTCTTGTTGGTCTATTAATGTTTTTTTACAACCAAAAATGTAATCTTCCAGAGATCTTTTGTGTTCTCAGTTTGTCCTTTCAAAGACAAACTTAGTTAATAGTCATAATAGCTTTTTTGATCTCTGAATATATTTCATAAATTTATTTTCTATTTCTTCAGCTATGTTTTATCTAGAGACAAGTGTTTTGTTTGTTCATGTGGGATTTTACCTTTTATAAAAGCTTTTAGGGTTTTCTCATGTGTTTTGTTATCCTTGATTGTCCATTCATATTTAAGAAAGAAGGACTAAGTTGATTATTCTTGGTGTCTTGTATGTAATCCCTCTACTGTTGAAAAAAGTGGTATATTTTTGAACAGGAAGTCTGACTGGAAGCTCTGTGTATGTATGAGGGGAGCTGGTAGCTTTACCCATCCATCCAGCAAATGCCATGTGAGGAAAGCTTTACTCTGGGCATCCCAACCAAAGGGAAATTCTTAGCTCTCCTCCACTGTTTGAGTCAATTTCTTTAGTGGGGAAAAAAAAAAAAGCCCTCTGGATTTTTGCCTTGGGTCATGACCAGACCTCTGAGAGCTCTGCACAGAGGAAAGGATGGCAGTAGATGAAGGAAAAGTAGAGAGGGAGGTCTGAATAAAACAATGTCCTGAGTCTAGACTTCAAATTAATTCTCTTATTTTCAGCCTCACTTCTCACTCTTGCCCTCTGCTCCTCATGCTGACAGTGAGCCCAGAGCCTATAAGATCAGCTTTCACTTCTACTGCAAGTCCCTTTTTATTGGCTGCATCTTCCTCAGTTTATTTTTTGTCAATGTTTCTCCTTCTGCTTCTTTTCTTCTAGAATTCTATGATACATATAGGCCCTTCCTCTAATTTTCTTTACTTTTATGAGTTTATTTCTTTTGGCATGTCTATTCTTTTATTCAATGACTTCTGGAAAGAATGGGACTTGGATGCATGTGCTCAGTCCACCATTTTGAATCTGGAGACCACTGAGCTATTTTTGAATGTCTTTGTTTCCCTACAGACACAGTGCTTTTATATTATCACCCATCAATCATGTACTAAAGAGCACGATCAAAGCAAATGGCCAGTATTTCCATCAAATTTCTGCTTTTCTCTTGAAATGCTTTACAGATCCTTACCCAAGAACTGAATGTGGTAGAGAAGCATTAGCTTTTGGATCCAATAGAAAGCGTTTCTGTGTGATGCTCCTCATATCTTTCACATTAAGTACAGGATACCCCATCTGTTTGGTCCAGGTGTCCATTACTTCTGTCACTGGTAGATTACTTGCCTAAGATTTTAAAAACATGGAGAATAAGGAACAAATAAGGGGAAATAAAAGCACAACTGATCAGATAAAGAAATAATTGATAAATCATTTGTTAATCAGACAAAGAAATATTTGGGAATATATTCTTCCTTACCTCTTCAAGTGCTCTCCAAAAGTCTGAAGTTTTTGCATTCATAAATTTGTATTTTTCCAAGTAAATCTGTATGTGAAAGATAACAAGTATTTTAAGAGTCAATGTGTGCTTTTCTCATACTTCCACAACATGAGCTGAACCTCTTGACATATTTCACTCTAATGTATAATATAGGAAGTGTACCTAGAATGAAAATCAAATGATATACTGTATGCAAATCATCCTGTAACCAATAAAAACATTGTACAAATAAAAATTTATTTGTAAAGCATAAGGAATATTTTTTCCTATGACTGAGATTTTTTTTTTTTAGTCTAATGGAATTGTGAACAAGAGAGAGAAAGAATTTAGTATTTTCAGGACAAGCAATATAAGAAACTTGAGCGGAGCCAAGTGTTCAGCAAACAGTCAACAATCCATAATATTTTTGATCCACTGTGAAGAGGGATCCGTAATTCTGTGATCTTTACCTGTCCACTGCTGGCTGCATTCCTTACCTTTATTTATAGTGCTGTTTTCTCATCTCAGACACTAGATGACCCCATCACACACAAGTGATTGAGGTGATGTGAAAAGACAAAACAAGTGAGCTTGGCTCTACGCCAGGCCTCTGTTAACTTTTTCTATAGAAAGCTATGTAGTAAAGATTTTAAGCATGTGGGCCATATAATTTCTGTCTCAACTACTCAACTCTGCCTCTGTAACAGAAAAGCAGCCGTAAATAATATGTAAATGATAGAGCATGGCTGTCTTCCAATAAATCATATTTATGCACACTGATATTTGAATTCCATATAACTTTCATGTATCATGAAATATTCTTTAGATTTTTTCAGCCATTTAAAAGTTTAGAAATGATTTTGTTTGTGGACCTTACAAAACTGAGCAGTGGGCCAGATTTAGGACCCTGCTCTAAATATTAATAATAATAATAATTATTATTATTATAATAATTGGGGAAATTATTCACTTTAAAGAATGTCTTCACTCTTCAAATATTTTTAAAATAGAAATTTTTAAGGGCCGGCCGAGTGGCACAGTTGGTTAAGAGCTCGCTCAAGAGTTTGAGCTCTGAGCAACAG